ATCAATAGGGATGACTTTCCCCTGATGTCTTCCTAGGTGGACGCGCTTGGGATCCAACTCCTTCGACCTTTCCTGGTTCATCAGTTAAGGTGATGTGAAAGTGGCGCCGAAGAGGTTTTGTTTATAAAACTTTGCCCCCAACTCGGTTTACCGAATAGTTTGAAACTTTACAACGTGAATAGGAAGACTATAAGGAGGGTCCTGAAACTCATGAAATTGAAATTCTTTTCAAATTTGTTTATAGGTATTTTAAAAATAATTTATAAAAAGTGAAATTTCGCGAGTGTCAGGACCTACCTTAGGGTCTCCATATTCACGTTTTAAAGTATGAAACGATTTGAGACACCCAGTTCGTAGAAATGTTTTATGAACGATTGAGCTTTCGGATGCCACTTTCATATCCCCTTAATTCAAGCATTCCTTTTTCATAATTGAAATGCATTTTCAATCGAAAACAGAGCGTGATTGGTACAATTACTGAACTTAATATATAATATTTTTTGTCATGATAGTTTCGATTCGATGAAAAATTGCATTTTAGTTATGAAAAAGAATTCTTGAATTTCGCCTATGACAACTACATATAACCCCTTAAGATCAGATTTTGAGTTCCTTCTGAATTAATTTATTATATTAATTTAACACCGATTTGCATGCGCATCATGGTCTAGGGATGGTTTTTCTGTCGTAGACGATGAGTCCCGTTTGGGATCAACCCCCGTGACTCCTTGACGTCTAATTTCTTAGACCTACCCTGGGAGGATTGGTCAGGACTAAAGGTTGCTTTTATTAAATTAGTTTGTTGTGTTTTTGAGGCATATACGTATGTGTATTATGTATCGGTAGGGGACATTTTTTTCTCGAATGGCGAGGAGTCCTAAGGGGTGGACGCGCTCGGGTGCTGCCCCTGTGTCGCTTTGCAACCCCCGTGTTCCTTTGGGCCGCGTCTGTTTCCGCCGCACGCGTAGACATAGGCACGCGGGGGCGGCGGCCCGCGAGCGATTTATCGGAAAACCGGCGGATGCCTTTGTCCCCGTCATATTACAATTGCCGCAGTCATTATCGCGCTATGCGGACGATGCGTTTGATTCCCAACCCCGCGCGTTCCTAACCACCCCCGAAGCGACCCTCGGAACCGGCGGCGATTTTCGACGCCGCGGATCACTTGGAGTTGCGATTTCTCGATTTGACATCCGATGACACTTATACTGGTCGATCGAACTAAATCTAAGAATCCTTGAGATTTTGGGTTAAACGAATCATAGATCTTCTTTTCTGTTCCCCTGCCTTGACCCAGTCTGGGGCCCCAAAAATGCCGGTCCCACTTCAGCTCCTTTTAGCCTCCACTCCACCCGGGCAATTTTACAATTTTCCTCAATTAATCATCTTCGAGCGGTCCCTGGGAATTATACAAACGTATTCTCTTTCAGTGACCCTAAATCACGGGCCGCAATTAGCAGACCCATGGGGTCCTTTGCGGGCCCTTCCTGCAATTCCTCCCAATTAATCCCGGCCGAAATCACAATCCTATAAATGCAAATTGAAACCACTATTCCTCACGAGTTGATTATAAATAACGAACGGTAATTTGTAATTTGCGATTGCGGCAGGTCCTAGCCGAAGGAACGTCCGATAATTGCGCGGCCGGGCCTTTTGGGCCTTTTGGGCCCGGCTGGGCCTTTTGGGCCCACGTCTAATGAACTCCCGCGGCTCGGGGCCGTCGCTCCTCGCGGGGCCCCCCGCGGGGCCCGTCATTACCGAATCAAAATTAAAGGCGGAGGTGGGCCCGGGCGCGCGCTTCTCGCGATTAGGGCCCGCTTATCGGTATCGCGTGGGAGCGAGCGAGAGGGCAGGCCCGGGGCCCTTCCCGAGGGCCCTCGTTAATTCCTGGACACCTGCGATCTCGCGCGAGCCCTTTAAATAAATAATAATTGGCATTATCGACAAAGACAAATTGCCCCCTTACCCTCCCACTCCATCGAAGCGCGGGTATCGCGCATGTCGTGTACCTCGCGGACGCACCCCCAAGGGTCCCTCGGGGGATCGGGAGGGTGCTCGGCGTAATATTCGACTAATTACGTATTTAATAATCCCTCCTCGGCGTCGGTTATTACCGCGTCGCGGTGTGTCGGCCCTGTTGGCCAGGCCCGATTCAACCCCCGACTTACCCCCGAACGCCATTTCCGCGGATTCGACGCGTAACTCTTCTTCGAGATAAAGTATCGGCTGAAAAAGTTGAAATAGGAGGAGTTTAAGGTGAGAAAGTGACATTACAAGTGTTGAACATACATTTGTCAATTTCGACCCCCGAGCGCGATTTCCGCGGATTCGAGTGTAACTCTTCTTCGAGATAAAGTATCGGCTTAAAAAATTAAAATAGGAGTTTAAGGTGAGAAAGTGACATTACATGTGTTGAACATACATTTGTCAATTTCGACCCCCGAGCGCGATTTCCGCGGATTCGACGCGTAATTCTTCTTCGAGAAAAAGTATCGCCTAAAAAAGTTAAAATAGGAGGAGTTTAGGGTGAGAAAGTGTCATTACGAGTTGACCATGCATTTGAACGTACATTTGTACATTTCGACCCCTGGCCGAATCACAAGTGCGATTTCCGCGGATTCGAGTGTAATTCTTCTTCGAGATAAAGTATCGGCTGAAAAAGTTAAAATAGGAGGAGTTTAAGATGAAAAAGTGACATTACAAGTGTTGAACGTACATTTGTACATTTCGACCCCTGACCGAATCACAAGTGCGATTTCCGCGGATTCGACACATCTCTTCTTCGAGATAAAGTATCGGCTGAAAAAATTAAAATGGGAGGAGTTTAAGATGAAAAAGTGACATTACAACTGTTGAATATACTTTTGTCAATTTCGACCCCCGACTGAATCACAAACGCGAGTTCCGCGGATTCGACGCGTGATTTTTGTTCGAGTAAAATATCGGCTGACATAATGAAAGAAGATCTGAATAAAATGTAAAAAAGTGTCATTACATGTGCCGCAAATGTATATTTATTCGTTCCATCCCTCAAAACTATCCCCAAGCACGGCTTCCACGAATTCGGCTTCTAGATCCTCATCAGAGCAAAGCGTCAGCTCAAAGAATTATAAAAGATCCAAATTAAACGTAAAAAAGGGAATTACATGTATTGCATATATGTATTCGCTCATTAGAAGTACCTCTTCAGACTATATCATCGAGTAAAGGAAGGAGATGAAATTTCGCATATTAAAACTATACTAATTTCTTATTAGAGATGTATATTTTTTTTTGTCCATCCAGAGCCAATGGCCGTACAATAAATACTTCCCGACCCCTCTTCCCGCACCCTCCGGAGGGTCGTAACGTTTTCCGCAGGCGTTTTCGCCGTTCCCTTTAAGACCGTCGTAACTCATTGCGCGCAGACGGTATTTCTCTTCGGCTCTTTGAAAGCATTTTCTCATTAAAAAATTAAGGCGCACCGCGGAAGGGGGCGAGTTACGGGGAGCGTCCGCGAGGGGTACGATTCCGCGCGAGACCGCGGCGAGGGTGGAAAGAGGCCGAGAAGAGGGTGGAAAGAGGGCGGTAAGTGCTCCACCGCTCCCAGATGCGCTCGATATTATGTTTAATGATATTAACTTCTTACTTACGTAATGGCCCGTGGTTCGATTCGAGGTGCGAAAAGGAGAGCACACCCCTGAGGATAATTTGTGGAGGAAAAAGGGGGAAAGAAGTCGGAAGAAGAGGGAGGATCTGTCCAAATCCTAATCGCCTGAGACGCACCCCCTTTGTCGAAAATGACATTGAAAGAAATTACAGTCCGTAGGGGTTCATTAACCACATGCGTCGTCGTTACGCATGTCAAAGAAGCTTCGTTTATTAAGGGTCATTAATAATCATCATTGATATCCATGGCCAGTCCTCTTATCAATTTCTTTTTCACGTAACACTAATTTCTTTTATTTTCTTACCGTCAAATGAGAAACTCGTATAGGAGGCGATAACCTTCGGTTAGGTCCCCGTAAAAGCAGAAATTGAACTTTCATTTGTTTGCTGCACCCCGAACGACGAGATTTTACTTTTTTACGCCCAGCAGAGACGCACCCTCCTTAAAGGGGGTGCTTTAACGATTGAGCTTCATGGTCCCGGAGTGTAAAGGCCGCGAGCCGAAATTAAAAGTTTCGCGTTTTGTACCGTAATGAGTGTCATTATGCGAGACATTTGGGGAAACGCGATTGCAAGGGCTTGGGTTTGGGTTGTGGCCTTAAGAGTTATGTCAGCCTGCACGTAACACGGCATCCGCAGCATCCTACTATCAGTCTTCATGAACTCCTGTACAAGATGTACAAGACTATACATTTTGTCGGTCAGAATGCCCACGATAGATTCTGCACACGGATCGACAAAAAGAACATGCTCCATCTTTCCACCGAATGAACGATGTGCGTAAATGTGCCTAATATAGGAACATTAAACGCATTTCAAACCATTCGATGCGCGTTTGTTGTGTACGTCTTTGGTGTGCGGTGTGACATACCATCCGACTGTCTCGGATGAAATGTCGAAATATCAGTCAAACAAAAGGGGCACTTAATTCCGCAAACTTTAATCAAAGATAACCAATGACAAGATTCCAATAACAATTGCGGCGATTTAGCATTAATTCCCGATCCAGCATGATCAGCACCTCGGAGGGTATCGAATTGCCTGGATGCAACGTCGGAAATTATCGCGATCGGGCCTTATTAAGGCGAGAAAAGGGCAATCTATAGTGCGCCCGAGGAGCGGCGATATCTCAATAAGGAGCAAAGACGTCGATTCGCTCGCCGGGGAACAATAACGAATTAATGACGTCGCCGGTCTCGGACGTCGGCGCAAGACTCGGACCATCACTTATCCACCTCCGCGCGGTCCTGTATAATCGTTTAATTAATACCCAGGGGGCGAGGCCCGCGACCCCGTAGGAACGAATCGAAGACGAGCAGCCTTCCTCATTGTTGTCCCCGTCTCTGTTCCAGGCTCAGGGAGGAGAGGACCGACACGGAGAGGGCGCTGGCGTTGGACCACAAACCACGGGACCTCAGCTCTCACAACGGTAAATCATCCGCTCGCTTCTGCGACTTCTCGACTACGAGAGGATTTTTCCCGACGACTTCATCGGGCCCCAGCTTTCCAGAAGCTGAAGTTCGATGAATTCGGGATGCGTTGCGCGGTTACATAACCTGGAAGAGTAGAATTTCCTAGGATGGCCTCTAGGATGAGTCCTGGAGGTGGTCCCCCAACGATGGTGGATTAATCGTTTGTCTTGGCGTTAGCTAGAGCATTGTTGGATTGCGCCATTTTCTGTAATGGAACAGGAACTTTGTGGTTGACCGAGAATTTTTCCTAATGAAGTCAGGTTACGTAACCTGGAGGAGTAGGACTTCCTAGGATGGCCTCTGGGATGAGTCCTGGAGGTGGTCCCCCAACGATGGTGGATTAATCGTTTGCCTTGGCGTTAACTAGAGCATTGCTGGATTGCGCTAGTTTCTGTAATGGAACAGGAACTTTGTGGTTGACCGAGGTTAACTCTTCCTCCAAGTTATGGATGGTTCCCTTCAGACAGTGTTTAGGGTAGTGGTTGAAGAGACGGATTCCTAGACTGGACTCCCCAGCTTCCTTGTCGTTCTATACAAATTAATCTAATAGTTCGCAACCTATCAATGACAATTTCTTCTTGGAGTTTCAAGTAAAATCTGAATTCTTGAAGGAGGGACACGGAAAGGACATCACGTCCCAACCAGCAGCTAATGGAGAACGCAACTCGCCATAAACGTTATGATCTACCGGCGTTAGATTTTCTGACTGTTGTCGGTCATCTTCGGAAAAGTCATTTGACAACTAGACTTTCGCCCGACGATTTTTCGATAATAAGCCACGTCCGGTTTCATGGGCCCTTTTTGCACGCTCGCGAAGTTTGCGACCAAAGACCGGTTTGGTGTCATACTGGATGGGTGGAGTATTAAAGGGTTAAATCTGGATGGGCTGAAGATAGTCCCAGGCCATCCAGAATGGAGACTAGCGTTACCCTCTTTAGCAGGACTCGCGGGACTCGTGTCACCGGGACTTACTCGTGTAACGCGAGATCCCTAATCGGGGTCCGGGCCCTAAGCCCATAACGCGGGGGAGGCTCCTAATCGCGTTTCTCTCTTTCTGGACTTTCGGGTCCCTCGGGATGCCGCGGTCCTTTTGGGACTCGTGAACCTCTCGATCGGCCCGTTGCTTCTCGGCGAACGGACCGGCCCTCGGGCCCCGTTTAGGGCCCCGGAGATTAAGTCCGATATCGGGTTTCGCGGATGCCCCGTTCTCCGGCATCGTCTCCTTTCCTTCTGATTCCTCGTAATATTTTAATCCGTCTGGACGAGCCCTTTATACCACGTCGAGATGGACTCTCAGTGTCCTTCGGACACGCGTAAGGCCCATTTGATGGGGAATCCGGAATTCGACTCTGCCGGCCACCAGTCTAGGGTATTAACTGCGCGCCTCCTTCCTCGAAACTAGGGCCGTATCTCTTCTCAGGTCACTATAAACAAAAAACTCCTGAAACAAAAGTTCTCCACCGTACCATCCCTCACAATTTTCGTCCGAAACATTTTCTCGTAACTTTAAGATTTCAGGAAAGAAATCGTAATTTATCCGAAGGGCCCAACAAGTAGCGCAAGGAACAAGGGCATCAGCATTGAACAGCAGCGCTGAGATAGAAAGTGATGATATCAAATCCAGGAGGGCAAACAACTTCCGGTTATCATTTCCCGTACCTTTGACTAGTTCACCCAGCTCTCCACGAGTCTCTCTGGATTTTCAACCCCAATCTTCCCGCCTCGTCGAGGTGGACCCTCCGGAGTGCGCGCGTGCGTGGGTGGCCATGCGTCACTTCGGGCGCCGGTCACCGCTGCCCAAACAGAATCCATCCACGTCAGGATTAAAATGCTAGGATATCAAATAGGGTGTGGGACGGTAGGAAGGAGGGAGCGAGGGAGACCTGAAGAGAAACAACCGGCGAGGAAACGCGAGCGAGAGAAAGATGGCAGTCCGCAGCGTCCGAACCGGGAACGGCACGAGGCAAATAAAATCCATCACCGTGTCAGCTGGCGCCCTCTGTCTTTCTCAGTTCCTTTTTCTCGCGTTTCTCCCTTTGCCGGCTAATTTGGGGGCCCCCAATTTTTCCCACCGAGCCCCCTGCGTTTGAATCTCATCTGCGAGCATTACACATCGACGTTTCTCCATTCGCAGGGTCCTCCAATGGTCACAGTCCGGTCCTGAACCTGTCTAAGACAGCGGGGAGCGGAAGCGTAGGGGAGCACTCCGGAAGCGAGGCAGAAGCGTCGCATCGCTCGCAGGATGAGGACGAAGAGGACGACAACCTCTCCGAGGACCTCGAGGACGACAACGAGAAGGACGAAGGTTAGTGTGCGACCCATCTTGGTGATGGCCAGGCGTTACCTTCATACGAAAAAGGATACCACCCCAGATCCAGTTTCCTTTCGTTCCCGATTTCCTGGCAATAGGCAGACCGACCTAGTGAGATCCCAGAGTTAGGTCACTCCAGTGATCGGTTCTGACCATCCAGCGATCCATCATCGACCACTTAGCCGCGTCGTTCGATTTGGTGTGTTCCCTTTGCCTGGCGTATTTCCTCGGTTTCTTCGAGTGGTGACCGATGGGGGGAGAAGGAGCGCCTGGAAAAAGGAGAGGACGTCGATCGAGGGGAATCCGATCCTTCGGGCTCTTTGTTTGACCGGTCCGAATCGCGTCCGGTCGGTTGACTCGGATCGAGGGTGACCGCTCGATAATCGGCGGCTTGCCATCCGATCCGGGACAGTCGGACCGGTCGGCGTTGCATATGCAAATGGAAATAATTATATCGGTCCAAGTGGACGCGCCTTTGGGGAAGGAGGCCTCCCCGGTTGGCGAGTCCGATGGGTCGGGGACCCCCTCATCGATCATCTCTGGGAGAGGACCGACGTTCCAGGATTCCCTTGCCTGGCTGGCTTGGCTCTCTCAGCGGTTGTCATGTGTGCCCACCACCTGTACCGGCGACGCCGCCGGGACGATAGGAGACGACAGCGGATGACAACGGCGCGACTTGCTATGACGCGATTATCTCGCCTCTCGGACCTGCACCTCTTGCTTTTGGCCTCGCGCCGCGGATTCGCAAGGGATACGCGGATTAGCCGAATCGCGCGAACGATGTGAACAACTCGCGTAAACGATACGCGCATTAAGGTGAAGTGAAACACCCTTCAAATCAGTCGATTCGAATACAACCCTTTTTTTTAAGGGTATTGGACCAAACTGTCCGAAACTTTGACACATCACTCCTGATCATCTAAGAATTGTCCTGACACATTGAAAATTTGGATTTTTGGAAAATATTTTCTAACTTAGCCCAGACCAGAACCAAAATGGCGACGAACTCTCATATTTCGATCGATATACAATTATCGAATGCTCTGATATGAGAATCGAAAGGGTCAGGACAATTTTACGACGATTTAGAACACTCTGGTAATCGATAAACTCGCATTTGAACGGGATAAAGGCAAAAAAAGTGTTGTATGCGCTTCTTTGCCAAAACGATGGTAATACGAGGTCTCGGAGTGAAAATTTAATTGACCTGGAAATCATAGATGGCGCAGGGGGTCCCTCTGCAGTCAATTAGGGCCCCAGAACGCATGAATCCAGAGGATTTCTGGAGTTTTACTTCGATTTTTTTATATTTATTGTACGAAAACGACAGGTGGAGTATGCCATTTGGTACAATACCCAATATAACTCGACACAGCTGTCAATATAAAAACGAACGTCGGCAACGTAGGCATTTAGAAAAATCTTCTTTATCGACGTTGATCAAGTTCCTCGACGCGTTTCACTTCACCTTAACCGACTCGGGCTGGTGATAAGCGTATCAAACAACTCGCGCATTAACTAATTTGCGCTTGTGAGGCGCGCATTAACTAATTCGCGCTGGTGAGACGCGCATTAACTAATTTCCCCTGGTGAGACGCGGATTAACTAATTCGCGCGAGAGATATGCGCACCGAATAACTCGCGCAAGCGATACGCGCATTAACCGACTCGTGCAGGTGATAAGCGTATCAAACAACTCGCGCGAGTAATACGCGCATTAACCGACTCGTGCAGGTGATAAGCGTATCAAAAAACTCGCGAGTGATACGCACGTTAACTAATTTGCGCGAGCGATGAGCGCCTGAAACAACTCCCGCAAGCGATACGCGCATTAACCGACTCGTGCAGGTGATAAGCGTATCAAAGAACTCGCGCGAGTGATACGCGCATTAACCAATTCGCGTTAATAATACTCGTTAATACCAACCCACACGAGTAATGCGCGCGTTCATCAACCCGCGCGAGTAATACGCGCATTAATCAGCTCACACGAATATTACTCGCTTAATCAACAACCAGGACTGATACGGATATTAACCAATGTTTGTAATTAATATGCATAGCGGTCGACTCGCATAAGCAATATGCGAGTGGTACTCAGACATCATGATCCGACCAAGATGATCTGCCTCGTGCTCTAAATCATTTATAGTTGAAATTGCGTTAACAATCTAGTTTGCGTGTAACGCCGTGGTTAAACGTTCTTCCACGTCGTGACTAAGATAACAATGATCAAGATCAGTTTTTATTATCTTGACGTGATCAAAATACCCCATGGCACCACGAGTCATTTTTCAGACTTTCCAACTTGCGATGTAGTTCTCATGAAGAGGGCTTCAATGATTTAATCGGATCCTATCGTAGACTCAAGAACAGAGGATAGTTGGATTAATCGATGAACGCTCCCGATCAATGTCCCCAGATGGATCCCGATTTCTTGTTCGGATCATTTCTACATCCGAGTCTCCCCGCCGCGTCCCCCCCAGGGGTGGAGAACCACTGTCGGGCCCCGGGCGGATCATTAGAGGCACATCTCCTGTATTTAGTTTCATTTTAATAGTGAAAGATGGCCCGAGATATGATCTGGAGCCGGACCATCTCGGGCCGTTATCTCGCGCCCCGGCCTCACACTTCGACCCATCGAAGCAGCATTAATCGCATCGATTTCTAATCGATTCGCTCATTGTCGCGCACAGGCACGTAGATTGGCTGCCAATTAGGGCCCAACGAGACGTCACGACGGTGACGTCGGTGGGCCCATGGGCATGTCGCCTACCCGCGCGAGTTTCGCGGGCAAACCTGTCAAGGGGCCCATGGGGCCCTAAAGGGTCGAAATTGGAGGAAATAAAAAAAATCAGATGGTCACGGGGGGCGCGGCTTCTTCGGTTTTAACGAGCACTATAAAATATAGTTGGGCCGGGCTCCCATTTTGGGGTAAATGGGCCTTACGGCGAGGGGGATGGACGGGGGGTGCCGAGGTGATGATTCCCAGTAAGAGGCGAAGGGGTCGGCGGGGGTCGCGAAGTCCAAGACGTGCAGCTTCAGGGTAGATATTGGGGGAGGCAAAGGGGGAGGGAAGTACCTATTAGCGTATCTTTAACGCGGTCAAGGCGTGGTGGCTTTATTTGGATGTAAACGCCTGTTCATCCCCCCGCTCCCTTTCTCGAATAGGGGGCCCCGGGAACGAGGGGCGGCACCGGGGCCTTCGGAGGGAGAGCAGGGGTCAAGGGTGGATCGGAAAGTCGTTTACCGTAAGTGCGGTTGCCATTACCAGGGGGGGCAGCACCCGAGGTTCGTTAGGTCGCGCCGTGGAATATTGTTTCCCCCGCGCGGAGTTGAGAACCGGTAACGAAAAGAGAGTATCGAAAAGAGGAATAAGAGGGGCCCCCTCTGAGCGGTCGTTTTCTGGACCCCGCAGATCGCGGGCCCTGGCACCGGTGAACTCGGAGCTGGTCGTCTACTCACCTCCTCGTTGGGACCTCATCGGCAGAAACATATGACGGAACGTTTAACCGCGTTCACCACCAAAGTGGGGACGATCACTTCCACCGGTAGGTGGCATGAGCATCGAATTCGGTGGGAGGGAACCAAAATGTACTTTTTCGCTCGGATGAAGGAGACGCGACGCACAATGGGCAGTGTTTAGCAACGGGCGAAAAATGTGTGCGTATTTTGCACGTATAGGACTCCCACAACGGCTAGACACCTCTGGACTAGGCGCCGAAACGTGTGTGACACCCGGCCGCCCACACACGCCAGTTGGACACTCCGCCTAGAGTCGGCAACGGTTGCTAAGAAATGCCCAAATTCCTCGCGAGAAACTCGAAAATCCTGAAAAAGGTGCTCGATATTAGGCGCTAGAGGCCCTGCAAAATCGCTGGAGTGGTGAGCGTCCTTAATGTTCGCGGAATAGTCTTCTAGTCTTTTGGGGAGCTCGGAGACGGAGATGAGGTGTCCAAGGACTTCGGCGCGAAACTGGGCCCCGTGGTTGACAGCGGTGATCCTGGAACGATTTGCACGTGGTAAGCCACGAGGGCTGGCAAAACCGGCGAATGCTAATTAACGGAATTAACGATCGCGCGCCGAGGCGCAATGAAATGGTAGGCGGGGAATCAGCACTGGGCCCTATGGAGAAAAAAAAAAAGAAGATGGACCCGGGTCGCACGCGGCCGTATATAAATCCGGGACTCGCGGGATGCGGCGTGTCTTCCCAGCGTGCGTCGGGGACCTACGCCGAGATGTACCCGGGACGTTATCCCCGTGCCTCCTGCCTATGCGGTGATCGAAGTAGACCCCATCGAAAGCCCGTGGGAGTGTACACGAGCGCGGAATGCCGTTCTGATTTAATGAGAGACGACCGCCGACGACCGGAGGCGCCTAGCGCGGCCCGGATCGAATCGGACCCCGAGACCCTGGGGCCCGGTACCCCCGATCAGCTGATTTCCGTCAATTTGCCTGATACTCCGACGCTGGCGTGGGTTATCCTTCGGCTGGAAAGGTGGTACTTCGCCATCTCGCATCTCGGAGAGAATTATTATCGATGCCGAGTCCAGCATCACGAGTTTCATAGCTGGGGCGGGGAAACACGAATCCCTTACAGATTTGGATGTAAATAGGATCTGATAGGCTACGAACGAGGATTTGTCTCTGGTTTAAATGTCTATGCTGCTCAAAGTACATGCGGTGTAGTTTTAGGATTGGAGGAACGTTTAGAGTTCCGATATGTCCCGGTCTATGTATGAAACTGATCACTTGATCATGGTTAGGGATTGTCGAACCCAGTTTGTCTATGCAAGTGGATAAACTGATTCTTAAGGACGAACGCTAATGGGACGGCGGAGGGTCCAAGGGATCAGCTCTTAGAACGTGGTAACTACTTGAACAACCACACAAAGAGCCATTTGCCTAGGGGACGCATGTTCTGAGCATCTCACTGATTGTGACAACCTTCTAAGGACCAACGGAATCAGTCCCAACACTAATTTCACTCGCGGTCTCGAGATGCCCAACATCGGGCCCACCAACAGAGTCCAACCAGAGGTTCCAATCTCGGTCCCAGCGATTCGTCGATCATTGGGCCCTCCGCTGCTCCACTCCCGTGCAAGCGATGCAGAGTGACGCGAGTCCGGCTTGTTCGCCGATAATTGTAATGGTCGCGGGCCCAGCTTGCGTCTCGCTATCAGCTCCGAGGGTCTAAGGCGCGAGCATTAAATCCGCTCCGGCGAGCGAGTGGGGAATCTCGGCGCGCTATAAGTTAGCTAAAGGCCGCTTTGCGCGGTTGTAGGTGTGCGCTGATAATTAAAAGACGATACAATAAACCACATATCATTGGCCATAAAGCAAGTGGCTTAAAGCCGGCCTGCCGGCGGCGGTGTGGGCCGGCCGCGAGCGGTCGGGCCCACGCGGCCGAGTCGGGCCTAACCAGACCCCCAATAACCGGAGAAGATCCCCCAGGTGGAGGGGATCCCGGGGATGCCCACGAATTTCTCCGATCCTGGCGAGGGCTAAATCAAAGATCGGCCAGCTCGCGGAATGCGTGGGTGGACGCGGGGCCGCATGCGGCCCACCGCTCACGGCGGCCGGACACGCGACCCTCGAAGGAGAGGGTCTGCGATTTATCGATATCATCGTCATAGGAGCAGGAATGCGGCTTGTAGAGGCGAGATTATGCCCGGAGGGTAACCTCGCGGATGAGCTTTCCATCGGTGGCGCCGTTTTGCCTGGACTTACGGAGGAACTTATTTTTGGAACGGCGAGAGGACGAGAACCAAGTCTTCTTCTTGTCGATCCGCGACCTAGGCACCTTCTCAGGAATCGGTGCCGATTAAACAGGCCATTTTCATGTTCTACTTTCATTGTTGGTCATCACTGATTTTAGAAGTGATCGGTACAAGTTGAAGAGGCGAAGAATGATACCGGTCAGCTTCACGTTTGGGTTTTTGGGACGTGATGGATCTTTCGAACTGGCCATTGCCTCTTCTGTATCTCCAGATTTCCCAGTCCTAGTTGCGCCTATTTGCGTTCAGATTTTTGGAACTGATGGATCTCTTGACGAGCTTACGTTGGGTGTTTTGTTCTTCCAGATCTCTCGGACGTGCCAGAAAATCTGCCCTTGCCAGCCCCGGGCTCCGAGAGTCCCCAGGCCCTGAACTATTCCCAGATCGCCACCGCAGCGGTAGCCGTGTCCCAGGGGTCCCAGGACCCCTCGGTGTCCAGCACGGAGACCCTCCTCAGGAACATCCAGGGCCTCCTCAAGGTAGCTGCTGACAACGCGAGGCAGCAGGAACGACAGATCAACTACGAGAAAGGTCAGTGGCTGGGCTTTCTTAAGACGCTAGAGGGCGCTCTCCACAATTTCATTATCTTCCAGTTGTCCCAGAACCATATCGAAAGGCGCTAAGTAGCTAGCAAGAAAAATGTCCCATGTGCTACTACAAATTTCCCTGAGACCTCTTCGACATTAAACAAATTACTGCTCTAGCAAACCTCCCCACAGAGGAAACACCCTTTCCAAATATGATTTCGCAACCTCGCCAAACCTAAAATCCAAATCGCATTTCTGTGTCCCTTGTGAAGAGATAAGAAAATTACCGACATTTCTCGTTTCTTGTAATGTTTCAAGAAAAAAAAATTCAGGATATCCTATAAAATTCATGGAATCCGAAGAAAGAGAAACATGTTGAGTCTCAGAAATTTAATGTTCCACCCTGCATCCCTGACACTTGTAAAAGGACATTGATAAGAGATGTCGCCAGGGGTCGTACGTTCATATTTTTTGTTTAGACGTGTTCTAACAATGATATTTTATCGATAATTATCGTATTACATGGGACAAGTTGCTTTCTTCCTACTTCAGGTGCCCTCTTCTCATCTCTTCCTTCCTTCCTCATTCCCGTCGCCCTCCTGCGGAGAGTCTTTATTCGTAAGAAACGCAAATTTCTCTGTAAAAGCCCCGCTAGCTTGTTCCTGCTAATACCCCCGAGTTCGCACCGATGCTATTTATACAAAATGATTAATTATTGTCAAAGTAGCATGTAGGTAGTATACTCATATCGTAGAGGAGAGGATGTTTCTCCGAACGTTTTTCTTTCTTTTTTTTTTTCTCAATCTCGGTGTATTATCGTATCGAGATGTCGATATACGTAAGGAAAGCGAGAAAGAGAGGGAGAGAGTGAGAGATTTTAATGAGTGTGACAACTATTAAAAAGGGGGTGGTTGATGCGATAGTAGTCGTAGTGGTACCAGGGCATGTAGGCGTGAATTTGTACGTCAATTAACGTTAGTCGATAACTTTATTACAATATTAATCGCATTACTTGTCTCGGAATGAAGAAAAAGAGGCCTTTTCTTGATAAGTCGATTTTAAGGTTGATATTCCTATTACTAAGCTACAGGAATATGGACCTTATAGAAACGTCTCGAAACATATCTCAAATCGTTGTCATTAAGACCTCATCAATGTTTATAATTTCATCTATTCGTCGCATTGCTCTGAGAGTTTCATCCATTACGCTAAAGATTTAAATGAATTTGTAACGTTGCAAAGAAGAGGACAAACGAAAAGGAGGAATGAACAATTTTATGTAGTATTAAAGTGAGATGGTAATTGTTTTAAAATCGGAAATGAATTGTTTTATTGATTCGCTGCTTCATTTGGCGTGCTCGGACTCTTATTCGTTTTACAAAATACATAACGTTTTCTTTTATAAAAGGGAAACATTACACCCATTCTAATGGAGAGTTTGACATTTTTTTATACAAGAAGAGTTTCGAATTTCACATGCCCTGGTAAAAAAAAAAGGATCGATTCAGATTTCCTTACAGCCCTAGATGAATTTAGCCCTAAGAACTTAGTCCTAAGCTAAGAAACTCGAATCTCGATGTACACGAAACTTTAGTCACTAATATTATTTAACCAATTATCCGCGATTAGTCAAAGATCCCGAATTAACGAAATTCAGCCAATTGTTATGAGCGCACTCGTAGATACTTATTACGTATAGAACGATGTAAGCCTTGAGACCTTTTATCATGGAAATTGGAGATAAGAGAAGAGTGTTTAAAAAATAAAAACCAATCATATACAGTACACATTGCCAATGGGGTTCGATACTCGAGCAATTGCAGATTCGCCGGAAGCCTCGAATTTCTCAGCCTATTTTCAAATTTCCCCCGAAATTCATCAATTACGAAATCTGCCATTGGTCGGCTATCAAGACTGCTTATCATTTTTCGATCCAAAAAGTGAATTGACGAGGAGTGATTACGGAAATTCAATTATACAAAAAAAAAAAAGAAAGAAAGATCACAAACGCGATACTCATCAAAGTCGAATTAAGCGGTGGTGAAATTTTGGTAGAATCACGCGTGGCCTTTTTCGAGTCGTCCGATTAAAATTAAAATTGTTTATATTTACTTTGGTGGAAAGCGACGTTTTGGACCAATTCGGGATTGCTCGATCACGGCGAAAAAAAATAGAGAGAGAGAGAGAAGAGAGAGCACTTCTCTCCGGGAGGGCTGACACTACCGGCACCCTGCATGCACACTCATAGGTACGTACATGCATACACATACAGCGAGGAGGATAGCGACTAAAAGAGAGGAGAAGAGGCGAAAAGAAGTGAAAAGAGATGCGAAAAGAGGAGCCGATGCGGTCCCCGAGAGGGGCCTTATCCGCATTGGCCACCCTCGCCGGGGCCCATAAAGTCGGACCGATATCGGCCCGACCAAGAGGGCCCTCGGTTCACGGTACGTTTCATAAATTCCCTCGAAACGGAACGCGGGACGTTAATTACCCATTAGCCGATACAAAGTGTCATTTTCAGGGCCGTTAACTAATGCGTTCGCCGATTTAGCGGCTTATGCTCGCGAGAGGTGACGCTCGTGCTGGGCTGCTCCGTGATCCGGAGATGATCGTGATCGGCTCTCGGGTCAGATCAGCCTCCGAGGATCTAAAGAACTCCAGAGGGGACTTTACAGAAAACCTCGAGCCTGTTTTTTGAACGCGTTTATTCTCACTTTCCTTAGGAAATTCAATCCTAATTATTCTCAAATTCAGATTGGTAGTTTGTTGGGTTGCTCCGCGATCCGGAGATGGTCGTGATCGGCTCTCGGGTCAGATCAACCTACGAGGATCTAAAGAACCTCGAGCCGGTTTTTAGAACGTGTTTATTCCCACTTTCCTTAGGAAATTCAATCCTAATTATTCTCAAATTCAGATTGGTAGTTTGTTGGGTTGCTCCGCAATCCGGAGATGATCGTGATCGGCTCTCGGGTCAGATCAACCTACGAGGATCTAAAGGACCCCAGAGAGGACTTTACAGAAAACCTCGAGCCGGTTACCAGAACGCGTTTATTCCCACTTTCCTTAGGAAATTTAAACTCAGTCCTAACTATTCTCAAATTGAGATTGGTAGTTTGCCATAGTGGTCCACCTTACCGTCACTTCAAATCTAAAGACAGAACTTTTCTTCAAGTCCTAGCTAGACTTTGTTACTTGTTTATCGAGTTGAAAACCGGTACCTAATTGAAGCTTAATGTACGTAGTATACTAAAAGCAATTGTCATTAAAACATAAAGCGAAATCTGCGCTTGAAAATAATACTTTAACACGTGATTATAGATGCTCTAAGGAAGAACGCGGTGCCCTAAAAATTAGATTTTTCGAACAAAATTTTGCGTTTATCTCGGACAAAAACCAAAAGAAAGGTATTTCTTTTTCGAAAAATGAAATTTCACGGGCACGTGCGTTCTTCCATAGAGCCTCCATAATCACGGGTTAAAAATTCAAATAATTCGGTGCACCTAGTTTGGAGGAAATGTTTATAAATATTTTCACTTTCTGGTACATATATATCACCTTGAGAACTGTGAGCTTTCCAGAATTCGTATGTATTGTTTTGAAGAATCCAAGAGGGTCCAGGGTCTTTTCGAAGGCGATGCGCCTCCACGGCTCCAAGAGGAGGAATAAGTCCTCGGATGTTGGAATGCGGTCGGGGGTCTTTGAGAGACGCGTGACACGAGTACCGAGAGTACCGAGGGAAGCTGCGGTACGCGCACGTGCGTGCCAAGGAGATTTCCGTCGTCCCGAGTCGGGCAGGACGTTAAGTCGCAAAGTAGGACGCGGATATGTGGAAGAGGAAGGAGCGAGAGAGAGGTGGAGATGCCCAGGTCGGCAGCTAGGTCGGGAGAGAGCGAGAGGGCGCTACCGCGAGTCCGCCATGGCGCACTTTGGCGAAGGGGAAAAGAGAGAGAGGGAGAGAAAAAGAGGGAGAGAGACGGCTGCCCGATTTAATACTCGAGCGAGCCAGCAGCTCGTTTTACACCAGATGGTTTTACATACGGCCGCTATCGTGTTACTTGCGAGCCAGCTACGAGCCAGCTCTGAGCCAATTCGCGTGAGATGCCTTCGATGCGGAATATTCCCGATATATTAGTGGTCTTTGTCGGTAGGTCGGGGGGACCCGCGATGGGCCGTGTCCTCGCCCGGGCGGTCCAGGACGATCCTGGCTGGGCGCCAACGGGAGGTTCCTCCGCGAGGATTGCCCTGGAAGTAGGATCTTTATCTGCCCCTGTGTCATATCGGGTCCTGCTACTGCTGTAATATTCCGCACCGAGAGTCATCCTCGAAATCCTTCAGCAGAAAGATCCTCCACCGTTCGGCCGAATGGCAAAGGTCCTAGTGAACGACATTGATATCAGTCGTCCAGGAAATCGTCTAGATTGAGGATCCCTTGGCACCTGGGACAGCAGATCTACTGATGCGATCTGAGTCCCCCGGGGAATTTCCAACTATCCAGCGAAAGGGTTCTTCAGTATCAGATTTATTGTTACAAATGGTGGATAAAGGTCCTAGCGTGGGACGGTAGTTCGAACACTAGTCTCGGAGAAATCTTCATAGAAGTACTATGCATTCTTTGGAAGTTGCAGTTCTTTATTTTGCGACTCGCTTTTCATGATTCGACAAATGGAGAAGGGTCTAGAGCTGCTGCAAGGCCCAAGACACCAGCTAAGGTGCTGGTACAAAGGTACCATGCACCAGCTAAGGTGCTGATGCCTGGTACCTTTGCGCACTGCAGTGGTAAGGGAGTGTGTAATTTAGCGAATTCAAAGAACTAAGTACTTTCAGGTACTTGGTTGAAAGCCTTATAACGACGAAATGTTTTGAACCCACGTGGCTCTGGTCGACCGAACGTTGAACACCACAACAATATCGGTCCGACATCTGGGGTCTAGGCGGCGACCCTTTTCATCCAGCAGCTTTAACGAACGTCGCACTCAGGAGAGCTCGTGCCAGTTCGTGTGAAAT